GACTTTCCCTGGTGTCCGGGCAGTAGCAGCCCCTGGCCAGTCAGTGTCCGGCCCGGTCAGGTACTTGTAATCTTCACACACACACACACACACACACAGCAGTACCCGCAGCAGGAGGGGACTACCGGGGCTAGGGGGGTTCGGGGGGCAAAAACACAGGACACGCACGTTGTAACCTCGCCGAAGGAGTACATCCATCCATTCATCCATCCATCCATCCCACGTTCGCAGCAGAGGGGTGGGGTCCCCGGCCCTCTACCCCGTTCCACCCGGCCGAGATGGCTCCCACCACCGCGACGGAGGGGCAGCTCGCAACTGAGGACTGACCTTTCCCGCGACCCAATTCATGTTGAGAATTCGAGGGTTGGGTAGTGCGGCGGGGTCGCCCGCCACGGTGACATTGCGGGCGAGCAGCACTGGTGTTGGGATGCCGGACCAGTCACTATCTTGAAGAATAATGTCCTTCATTATAAGGACGGTAACAATGTTGGCGTCCGCGACAGCTTTAGCAAAATCCAATCCATTGAACACCTTCCCTTCAACGGCAGTTGACGTAACCAAGCCTGCTGAAGATTCCAGTTCTCGTCGTGCATAGCTGAAACTACATAAAATTAATGTGTGAATTAATACGCGTATTAAGGGTAGCTGAACCAATGCGTTGCGCCGGCGGTCCATGGCTGCAGTGGCACGGATCTATATCCTTCACAAGGCATTGAATGAATGACAAAATAACGTTTTAGTAAGTTTGTTTCCTGTGAACCAAGTGGGTTTCTGTCGCGACCGTAGCCGCAAACAGTAACTCGTTTGTAAGCGTTCCTAAACTCTATCCACGGTTAATCCTCAGGATGCCAAGAAGGAATATGCCGAGCTGTTTTGCAAATGCATAAGCTCGGGATATTGATTGTGGGAATAGTTACGGAAGGGTTTCGCGTGAAAATTTGTTTCGACAGTTCCGTAGTACGGTTCAATCAGTCACGTACAACCAATCAAACAAAGACCAAACTGACTTCAGTTTGGTTTTGTGCTGGCGAGTAACCTGACCGGAATAAGTAAGGTACATGGCCTGGCCATTCCGGCACCGTCAATACTCTTTACTTTTCGTTGAGAAGCCATCAGGTTATGGATCTTGAGCTAGTTTTAGCCCCCCCCCCAAGTTCTAATGCGTACTTGTTTTGAGCACGCAAGTGCAACGAAGATCGACGCGGAGCGACGCAGACAAAGACGAAGACCCCGCATACATGGAAAGGGCTATGCCAACGCCTAGATATCCACGATGATAATAAAGGATGTGGGAATGCTGGATTATGTCCTTCGGCCCGTATCTTCGTTCGGCAACACCAGTTACAACGTACCGTGCTTTCCAACACGGTTACGACACGTACCTTCTGGATGCACATCGTCGCCACATCAATCATCCTCTCTTTATCTTCCAGATTGACTTCGAGAAGGCTTTTGATAGGGTTCCTCGTGAACTGCTTTGGCGACAGCTAAGGGAACGCGAGGCTTGAGGCTGGCCGCCATTAAAGCGGGCTATGACATCCGGTCATCCTGAAACTGCGAAGTGTCAATGTGGTCACGGGTCGTCTTTTCGAGGCCGCCGCGCAACAGGGGTGAAACAGGGTGGTGAACCCCCTGCTGGTGCCCCCTCCGCCCTACGCTGTACGGGGAACTATGGGGAAGGCTTTGCCGATCTAGTTGAGGTGTCTTCGACCGGGAACGCCCGTCATTCCTGTAGAGAGAGGCGGAAAACTGCCCCTCCGCAGACGGCCTAAGGGTTGTACCCTTGCTGCCACACGCGGACTACTGCTGCTACAGCTGCTCCTCCTCCTCCTGCTGCTGCTGCTGCTGCTGCTGCTGCTCTTTCTTGGTTTATGGTGGGCAATTTTCGGTACGTCAACATCAACGTCAAGAAAACGCGGTGCTAGGCTCACACATCCAAGTCCGCGAGTGCGGGAGGTTATGTGTTTGGGACCACCGTTTGTGATGTCCAGGTTGGAGGAATGGCCAGTGGGAACCTGAACCGATTGACTGGGTCGGCCGTACACGGTACCGAGACATCCACTACGGCCCTGACTCGCCCTTCATGTCATGTATGCACCAACGAGCTCTTTGTTACGTTTTCAGGGACTGCTACTCCTAGCTCATGGTCTTAAGGGTTTCAATGCGCAGATCCGACCAAGTCTTTCTTACGGAGCGTAGGTTTGGGGACCTGATCTCTTGGTGCAAGTCTTAGAGGCTGCGGGTTCGCGGGTCGATCTTTTTGAGGAAGCTGTTACGGCTTGGATGCCAGGGTTACAGTGCGCGCTCCTCCGCTCACTGGCATGCATGAAAACCGTTCGCGTGCAGGACGCGGGACTGTCGGAACCCAAACCAGCAGACGGTAACGACCCCTACAGCAAAGCCATAAGATTTTGTTTCTTTTCACAAGCACCTAAATAAACATTTAAAGGTGACAGTGATGTGGCACTTGGAATGACTTTACAATAGGTAAAACCTGGTGGATCCGACACTCCGACACTCCGGAACCTGACACCAAAACAATTACAGGATCTGTTCAAGATTCCATGCTTTGAGCAAACGTAAATGCTTGCAAATAAGCAAACAATCATAGGTGTACCACGTACGGCTGCCTAGTCTCGAATACTCTTAACGCCATCAGTTCTACAAAGTCCTGTCCTAGCTTGCTTGCCACCGCGATTAACGTTGAGCTGATAATCCACTTGTACATCTTGTAAAGCGCCTGTCAACGCTGCGATGAGCAGGGGGTTGGTCCGGACCGCAGCTGCGGGCACCTTACTTGGCGTAAGCATTTACGTGGGCGCGGACGTTGCCGGTGAATACACAACCTACTGCGCACTTCGGGATCAGGGCCTGGCCTTCGCGAACCAGGACGCAGCGCTCGTTGCGCAAATTGGGACGCCCTTTGAGGTTGGGCCCTGGTACAACGCCAGCATCGGCTTTACGCAGTCGGGCCATATCGCAGCCATTACGTTTCCACTCAAGGGCATGAAGCAAATCACCGACGTGACCGTGCGCGCGGTGCGGCGGCCCGGGCTTCCTTCTACCGCGCTGTACAATTTGCTGGGGGGCGAGTGGAAGGTGCTTGACTGCAGCGCCATGGCGCCACAGCCAGGGGGCTTGGTACGGCCCCGCAGCATCATGCCGTACCAGGCCGTACCCAAGGTACAAGACGGCACGGTGGTTGCGGGTGAGGAATGTGAGGAATGTAACCGGAAGGCGGCAGTGGCAAGCGCCGGAGGAACGACCGGGGCACCGCCCCCACCACAACCACCACAACCACCACAAGCGCCTGCACCGGCGGCGGCGGCAAGTGACACTCACATCAGCACGATGACGGCACAGGCAACATCGGGGACCGGAGGGTCGGGGGGAGGGGACGCCGGCGGCGGGGAGGCGACGAAACGCCCGCGGAAAAGGTTTTGGCTGTTTTGAATGGGTTACATATGAGGGGCAGATACTGCCTCATATGTTGTTGTGTGTAGACCCACCGTTGACGGCGCCGCGTGTGAACATTTGCGTGTGAGTCCCCCCGGGGGGCCCCCGGGGGGGGGGATTGGTGGAGCTGCTTCCGTAAGAGCTACATTGAACTGCCATGAGACGATGAGGTGAATGGGAAGCCCACCCTAAGAGGTCGGGCCCAGACATTAGCGGGTGATGGTGGCACGCAGGGTTGCAGTTTGGCCCCTCACCCCATCTCACCCCATCTCACGTCAAATCTTTCTCGTCCTCGTCCCCCCGCTCCTGCCATGTCTTTTCCGCCGGGACACGTGCAGTCCTGATTACGATACTTGCGCTGGAAGAGTGTTTCTTTGATTGCGGTACGACTCCATCTGTCGTACAAGTACATACTCTTGCTCAAGTAATGTTCGACTACCGGACTGATGGATGAATGGGTATTAGGTTTCCCACACACATTCATGAACACATTACATACATACATACATACACGGCATTGTGACGTTGGGGAGCTGTGCGCTGTCGACGGAAAAAAGGGTTTCGTAACAGCTCCCTCGGGGGGGGGGGGTAGCTAACCCCCCGGTGCCGCACACGCGTGATCCTTACATTGTTATGTGGGGTTGGGTTTGTGGGCTGTATGGACCGACGACGGACTGAATGACCGACGAACATACAGACGGACACTTCGCGTGAGAGTACGAGGGGTCGCAATTGCGTCACAGGGTGATGGTTGAAAGCGTGTTTGGTTGAAAGCGTGTTTGGTTGAAAGCGTGTTTCAGCGAAGCGGGTTGTGGTTGAGGGCGCCCACCCCCAGCCCCACCCCCGGGGGGGGGCTCTGCCCCCCTCAGTCCATCCCCCAACCTTGTGGGATCGGGTAGGGTCAGACGTGAGATGCGAGGGGGATAGGGATGGAGGGTTGAGTGTCAGTTAGGACTCCACTTCGTGAGGGGGATCGAAGAAGATGCGCGGGTGGGTGGTGTTCCGTTGGGACGCGAGCGCGGGGTCTGGGCCTTATGTGTGCGAGCTGGCTGGGCCAGTATGTGGCGTACCTCGCATACCCCCGCCTCTGCCCGTCCGAAATCGTATATACACAAGTACACCGTATTCCCTTGTCACATACATACATAGATACGTACGTATATACGTACGTACGAACATACATATACGGCAATGCGATGGGATGCTTATCTCTCCCTGGAATCCCAGGCCGTCCCCGCCGCCATAAACATTAACTTTTAGATTCAGGTGTATCATCATCGTCGGAGTCAGGCCCCCCAGGAGGTCAGGGGAGGTCATTCCCCCGATGGGAGGGGAAGAAGGTGAGATGAAGTTCCAAGAGGCCAAAAGAGTAACAACCTCCAAAGGAGGTGCGACTGCCGCTAAACACCGTCGTCGACAATTCGCAACCCACCCCGGTTGCCACAAACGGAACACCAACCGGAACGCCAACTAACCAACAACTCATGGTCACCAACTAAGGATGGAAGAACGAAATCGCTGCGGCACCTCCTTTAAGAGAAAAGGTGGTCCCTAAAAGATCAAACTGAATCAAACAAGACATGTGGGGGATAATTCTTCGCCTCTCACTCCACTCGCTTCGTCTCTCGGTCTCTAGATCACTCAAACCACTGGGGATGATGACGACCTCCGAAAACGCTCGTTCACATTTACACATGTACATTCACGCCACGCGTAGGCAAAACGCCGTTCTTAGCAGCAAAGCGCCACAGAATAACAACTCCTCAAACTAACAACGGCTGACAATTTAAAGTGTTGTCACAGGTCTTCATGGTGCTCCCTACCGCCCACTACCCGTGCCGGCATCAAGGTCATCCAAACTGTACGGCGGTGCCGCCGCAGCGGCCCCCGGGCCTACCATACCCTGATCAGCCTCCCGCAAGGTCTCCCCTCCCTCCTCCATGTCGTACATCTCATTGTCGCTGTCGGTGGCGCCCCCCTCGTCCTTCTCCCCGTCCTCCTGTTTGGCCGCCGCCGCTTGGAGCTGCCACATGGCCGCATACTCACCCCTGACATACATACATGGCGACATGAAGAGGGCGTCCCCGCAATGGGGGTTGGTGTACGGATACGGATACGGATACGAGTCGAGATAGTGACAAATGATAGTAATAAATTATGGTGACAACGATAATAACGACGATGATACAAAAGTCAAATTGAAATAACAGTCAACGTTCTGGGGGGCGAGCTGGGTGGGGGTGGGAGTTGGGCGCGAAGAGCTATGAGAAGACGCATGATATACGTACATACATACATACATACATACATACATACATACATACATACATACATACATACATACATACATACAGGGGAAGATGTAGAGAGTACACCAAGAGGATGTAGGGTTGAGGAGTGGTGAGTGGAAACAGGTGGCCGTAGCGAGGGCGCGGATGAGGGGGAGGTGGGCACCCAGAAGGGGGGGCCGTACTCGAAGGTGCGCGCGTGGTGCAGGACTAGGTTTTCCAGGGTACGAGACCGGGTTTTTCGTGTTGCGGCGTCTAGGTGAGATAGGATCTTGGGAACCAGCCGTCTTGGTAGAGCGGTATTGGGGGGGCGCCGACCTGGCTACCCTCCCCCCCTGTGGTTTCCGGAGGCTTGATCGCCCTGCGTTGCCGCAGGGTCTTCCCGTTTGAGTACTTTTCAAGTTAGACCCAGTGCTGTGGAAGGGCGCGGACTTGTGCGGTGTTACCCCCTCGACGGGGGCTATCTCCCCTGGACTAGCCCAGGGAGGGAGAGGCGGAGGAGGGTAGTAGTCTCAGGAGGCTGTTTGGCGTCTTGTGGTGTGAGCTCTTTGCGCTCTTTTTTGCGTGAGGATTTTTGAGCTTGGTGACCTCCCCAGCCCGGGATGACTCGTCGGGCTCCCGGTCGCCCAGGTCCTGGTAGCGAGCTCTCTGAGATGCTCGGTTCGTTCGGTCGGCAGGAAGAGGCCCCCAGTTGCGACTTCGTTTATGTTAGGAGACCAACGGGCATAGATCCCGTCTAGTTGGAGCGCCAAACAAGCGCTGTTGCGTGCCGGCCGTCGTTTCCCGTGCGGCCTGACCCGGGGGCGGAGTGCATGAGACTAACCAGCCGTATGCACCCGCCCCCCGCGCTGTGCTTCGGCCCTGGGCCCCCGGCTTTTCAGCCCACAGTGTAATCAACGTCATACATACATACATACATACATACATACATACATACATACATACATACATACATACATACATACATACATACATACATACATACATACATACATACATACATACATAAGCATACCTCCTGGCCATGAGCTCGTCGTGACTGCCTTCCTCCACCACGAGTCCGTTGCGAAGTACGACAATGCGGTCGCAGTTACGAACCGTACTCAGACGGTGGGCCACGAACAGCGCGGACCGACCTACCACCGGGAGGAGTAACCGTCGAGCGGGCGGGGGGGGGTGGCGGGGGTGGGGATGGTTTCGGGGTTTCTAGGTTTTTTGGTTTTTTGGTGTTTGTCAAGGGGGGACAGACGCACCACGAACGAGTGAAGCTGATGCCAGGGATATAGACTGATGCGCCGGAAGTAAGCAAGGCATAACTAACCAGTCGGCGGTTGTAAAGAAGCAGCAGTCCTCGCGATGATATGGTCATGACGATAGCGGAAAACTACCTACCTTGCCGCCAAGATTGAAACAAAGTGCGGAAAGCGAGCAGGAGAAATATCCGAAATATTCTAGAGG